AGCAGAGTGCACTGGAGAGATGAGTATAGAAAATCAAAGGGATAAACCTGACTTGAACAGTTAAATCTTGTCAGTCAATCCCTCCTTTGATGATCAATGATTTTCAACACTTTCTCTAAATTTTGATCGTTTGTTTGTTCATATTACGGTTTATCTCAGATGTGTTATGTCATATGTTATGTCACCCTCTTGAAGCTGTGTTACATGTTTTTTTTGTTTCTCAGTATATGAAACCCAGAATTGATGAACCTCTAAGGACAACAAGTAGAATAAGGGTTTTCGAGGAAGGGGTACAATGGAGGTGATTGGGGGAGGCTGGCTGTGAAAGGGAGACAATGTCAAGGAGTCCAGGAAGGAAAGGAATGTGATAGCAGTCATACAATACTGCTTGGCATGATTGAACTATGGAATTATATTATATATGTGTGTGTGTTTTAACTCCCAACTTAAAATAAATTACTTATTTTTAATATAAAAAAGTAAGTTCCAAATCACAGTGAAGCAGATCAAAGGCCCTGGAAGCACTAAGGACACTGGAAACACTACTTGTCTATGCTAAGAAATAGCCAACCAATTGGAATAGATCCATATTTATGTTCATTCAAGAAATGTGACCAAACAAAATGTGCAAATTATACAACAATATCATTAGTCTCACTTGCAAGTAAAATTTTGCTGAAGATCATTCATTAGCAATTTCAGTAGCACACTGCCAGGGAGCTACCAGAAGCTCAAAAATATGCACTTTGATATTATTGTAAGAAAATTGTAGTAACTTCAGTGTATATATTTTTCACATTATAATCCATGAGTTGAGATCATTGTTTTTAGGTATTGTTGAGTAAATAATTGTTGAGTAAAAAATAATCGTATGCAGATCAAAGAAGCAGTCATTTTCTGATAAGATATATCTTTTTGGTGACAAGAAGCTCTGGATTTGGACTTGTCCTTCAGCTCAAAAAAAGTTATTTAGGGCTGCCTTTTATTTTGCAATAATGAATGCATGTGATATCATTGCAGATACAGAGGCAACAAACCTAGCTCATGAAATAATCTTGAGTTGGAATAAACTTCATAGCATTGGGTTTTATTATTTTTTTTAATGTACAAGAAAAGACAACCCAGACAAAGAAATACCACATAGATGCTCAGTTTATTTAGGGCAGGAGTGGTTACAGTGGTTACAGTAGGGTGAATAATACACTAGTTAATAAAGCAAATTTGGATGGATACTTATATCAATGTCACAAGTAAATTGCAAGTGGATATACAGCAAAAATACAGAGGCAAATCAATAATTCCTTCAGATTAAGGTAGGTCGGAGTTTCATAAGCAACATTATCTACTGAGGAAATTTCCTTAGAAGCCAGAATGGTCCTTAGAAGTTAGAATGGAGAGATTTTGTCTCACTTGGTGCTTTAGACATGCTATCAGGATGGATCAGTCACTAGAAAATTACACCATGTTTGATAAACTAGAGGGTCAATCAAAGAGAGGAATACCTTCAAGGAGATGGACTGACCAAGTGGATGGAGCAATTGGGCTCAAGAGAAACAGCAATTGTGAGAATGATGCTGGTTTCGGTAGTATTCCCTTTTTTGTGTTCATAGGGCCACCATGAGTCCAAGCTGATTGGAAACCCTAACAAAAACAATATTGACAAAAAGCAGTAAGAAAAATATTGAAAAATTTAACCCTCTGAGGGGGCCCTGAAAAGTTTGTGAGCTACCAACTTCTCTAAATTGGATCAACTTAGAAGTATCTTAAGGGAGGAAATAGGGAACAAAACTTCATGCCACAAAGGGGACCAGGTTTACAGGTTAGAGAGTCCAGGAGAAATGCCAATAGTGAAGTCCTTATTCACCCTTCAGGTTCAGAAATGAACTCACCTCCATGGCCCAACTTTCAGACACCTCAAAAAAATTCTATATAAGGAAATTACCACAAGTCCACAAGTGAGGTATTCACACTGCAGAATAACCATTTAAGATCAGAAGGACACCCACCACCACCACCACCACCACCACCAAAAAATAAAAAAATTTTAAAAAAAGATCAAAAGGACAGTATTCTCACAGGGACAGAGGTAAGAAGGACCAGGCAAGGAAGACCTGAAATGGGAAACACAGGAAGAAAGTGAAGTAAATGCTACTTGATTGAGAGGACTGTAATGAATGAGATGAAACAAAAGGTTTCGGAATCATTGAATGCAAAATTGATCGTCTGTTCTGAAAATCTTCACCCTATGCACAACTAAAAGTCTAAAGAAAAATTCTCACGGAAAACACCCATTATCTTTAAATTCAGTTTTCCACTAATCTTTGAAGCCCTCGTACTAAACGTGCACATGTGTACCAAAAAATCACACACTTAAATAAGAAACTGGAAATGTACATAAGTAATGCATGTTACAACTAAAGAGTCTTTGTGAATTAATAGGGAACGATAAATTGTTCACTAGAAATACTATGAACAGATACTTCATAAAAGCGGAAAATAAATGACACATTATATGTGAAAAGATTCAACAGTATAATAAGCAAAATGTAAATACATCAAATACGTTTTATAGTCACTTCGGTTTTAATAGGGAGTTCTGATGGTTTAGTGGCCCAAACCAAAACCAAAACCAAACCAAACTCACTGCCAAGGGGTCAGTGTTGGCTCAGCAACTCTGTGGGACGGGGTAGAACTGCCCTGTACATTTCCCAGACTGCAAATGTTGATGGGAGTAGAAAGCCTCATCTTCATCCTGTGCTGGTGGTTTGGAATTGTTGACTTGTTAAAAAATTAATCATTTGGGGGAAGGAATCTTACATATCTTATAGCTATTCCATCATAATTGTATTAACCACACTTATACGTATGTTGCCATCAACATTCCTCAAACATTTTCTTTCATTCTACTTGAGCCCTTGATAGCAGTTCTCTTTTTCCCCCTCCCTCTCCCACCCTTGGGAATTCTTGATAAAGTATATATGTATAGTTACACCTTTTGCATTGCAGCCCAAATCCTTACCACTATGTCACCAGCGTTCCAAAGTTTGCTAACTACAACGTTTGCAGTTTGAGCCCATCAGATCAGGTTGCCTGCTCCCATAAAGATTTAAAATCTTAAAATCCCTCCCAAAACAACAACAACAAAAACCCAGAAAGGCAGTTCAGCTCTATCCTACAGGGCTTCTACAGGGTTTTGTTAGGTTTTATCAGTAAGATAACATGTGATGGCAATGAGGATGGGCAAGAGAAACTTCTAATGAAAGTGTAAATAGGTTTTGTCACTTAGAAATTCTTAGGAACTACCAAAAGAGAGAATAAGCACTCCTCTAAACACAAACATTTCACTTACACATGATCCCCCAAGTTGTTCCCATTTGGGAACATGTATGAAAATTCCAAAAGCTTTATGTACAATAGGATAAATATAAATATCAAAGGTCCCACCAACATTAGAGAGGGCAATAAAAAGTATAGAGCATTGTATACTTTAGCAAATGAATCAGTGCTCTAGCCCACAACAGCACTGAATCTGAAAAGAAAGTTGATGAGAAATGCATTCCACACACAAATTCAAACTAAAATGAAGACTAACGTGTTGAAAAGTTAAAAGAGGGACATATTTAATAAACTCTGGAAGGAAATGATTATGCATGATGAAATGTGGCTGAATCTCATAAAAATTCCAGCAGGTTAGCATAAAAATGACCAAATAATGACAATTTCCTATGAAAGAGTCCAGCAGACATTTATCAAAGGAAATGATGAATACAAAAATTCAAGTTCAATATAGAATTCAACAGAAAGTTAAACAACCCAATTTTAAGAATAGGCAAAGAACCTGAAAAGATATTTCACCACAAAAATAAAAGGTTTAAAAATGGCTAACTAAGGAAAACATGGTCAACATCATGAACAAAGATGAACATCAAAACCATCATGAGAAAACACTTAAACCCCACTAGGATGGCAATGCTCCTTTTTAAAAAAAAATGGAAATAGCCATTGTTAGAGAGGGATGTGGAGAGACTTAAATGTCCATCCAGTGCTGGTAGACCTTTAAAAGGTCGCTGTGGAAAAGTTTTGCAGTTCCTCAGAAAGGGAGACATTGAATTACCACTTGATCTCGAAATCCCAATCCTAGGTACATACTCCAATGAACTCACGAAGGTAGAATAGAAAGTGGAACGTGTACATCAATGTTCATTGTGAAACTATTCACAATAGATAAAGTAGGCCACCGTGTTTACCTCCATGGAGCTCATTTCAGCCACCTGAGTTTTAGAACAGTGAAACAATGTATTTGTTTTCAGCCAATGAGCTTGTAATTTGTATTTTCTTACAGAAGCAGAGAGAGAATAACACAGAAAAATGTTCCTGGGTTCTAGCAGATGATGAAGAGATTGCCTCTGGAGACTATATAGGGAATAATCTCTTTCCGTGACAAACACACCAAGAACAGGCAGTCATTTTCTTGTGTCTGGTAAGGACCCATGCACTCTTACACTCATTAAACCAACCACCTTAGTGGTTCAATGACTAAAACTAACACCCTAGGGAATAAAACACAAATATGCAGTTTGGTACTTAAAATCACCTTATGTCCAAACTCTTTGTTAGGAAAGATGATACTTTTTTTTAGTACCTGTCCCTACTTGAGATGAGATTTTACTCTTCTAATAACTAAAGATGTCTGCCCTGACAAAGTTTAAATAGCACAAATCTCCTTAAGTCTTTCCAAATAGTGACCTAACACAATTGTGTCAGTTTTAAAGATAAGGAAACTAAACTTAGAGATTATATCATTAAAAAAAAACACATCAACTATCTATTAACAGAACCGAGATAAAATTTAAGCCATGGGGTTCTCATTCCAGCGTTGTTATCCTTAATCAGCATAATCACTTGTCTCCTGCTTTCAAGAAACTTAGGCTTTAAAAATGGTTCATGATTCATTTCTCTCTGAAATGTTACAGCTACTGAATGCTGAAGCACCTGACATATCAGTGGAAAGAAAGTGTTCTAGAGAGGAGTTTCCTCAGAGCCTCCATCATGTCCTTGTTCCTGAGACTGTAGATAAAAGGGTTCATCATCGGGGTGACCACAGTGTACATTACGGAGGCTATTGCACTCTTCGGAGAGGAGTGGCTACCTGAGGAACTAAAGTACACCCCAAAACCTGTCCCATAGAATAAGCAAACAACTATTAAGTGTGACCCTGAGATGGAAAAAGCCTTATATTTTCCACTAGTTGATGGGATTTTCAAGACAGAGGAGACAATTTGGGTATAAGAATAAATAATCCCGCAAAGAGGAATAACACCAAAAATACTGGTCACTACATAAATCAAGATGTTGTTGATGAGGTTATCCGAACAAGCAAGCTTGAGAACATGAGCTAGTTCACAAAAGTAGTGAGGGATTTGAATATTTGTACAAAAAGACAATCGCAAGGTCATCAGAGTGTGGAGAATGGCATCCAGAAAACTAATGAGGAAGGACAAGAGAACCAGAAGACCACAGACTCTGGTGTTCATGATAGTTGCGTATCGTAGTGGGTAGCAGATGGCCACAAATCTATCAAAAGCCATCATTACCAGAATTTCATTTTCCAGGCCCGCAAAAGCCAGGACAAAGCATAGCTGAGTGAGGCATCCTGTGTAACTGATGGATTTGTTCTGGGTCTGGATGTTCATCAACATCTTGGGGACTGTGGTGGTGCTGAAACAGAAGTCAGTGAAGGACAGGTTGGAGAGGAAGAAGTACATGGGGGTGTGGAGGTGAGAGTCAAAGATGATCGCCAGGATGATGAGCAGGTTCCCAGCTGCAGTGATCAGGTATATGGTCAGGAAAATCCCAAAGAGAAGGGGCTGCAGTTCTGGATCCTGTGAGAGTCCCAGGAGCAGGAATTCCGCTGTATCTGAGATGTTTCCTGTTGCCATGCTGGTGATCGTTGCGCTTGCTAGAAAAGATGGAAGTGAAAAATGAAAAAAATAAAGTGTATCTGTTTGATTTAATGTATTTATTGAAGGAAAATCAGTTATATACAGTGAACCCTCGTTTATCGCGGTTAATCGGTTCTAGACCCTACCGTGATAAATGAAATTCGGCGAAGTAGGATTCCTTATTTGTAAATCAAATATTTTCGTAGTTAGAGCATAGAGGACATGAAAAAACACCCTTTAGTCACCATTACACTCGTATTACCCAATTTATTAAACGAAAAAGGGAAAATACAGTAAAACATTTTGGACGTTACAATTATCATTTATTATTTATTATATTATTTATGGCATCAAGCGTGTACAGTATGAGCCAATCAGTGGCAGTAATGACAGAGCATGCACTGTTACGCAAAAACCGCGATAGAGTGAAGCCGCGGAAGTCGAAGCGGAAGTGGCGAGGGTTCACTGTATATTTTTCTTGTGCTCCCATGCTTCTCTTTCCTTTCCTTTTCTTCCCTTCACTACTTCTCATTACCACATAGTCTTTTTAAGGAATCACGTGAGTGGTGCACAGGGTGAAGCACCCAACAAACAACCAAGGGCTCCTCAGAAGAAAGGCATGGGGTTCTGATTCTGAAAAAAAAAATCCACTAAAAACCTTATGAAGCATTGTTCTACTCTTCAACAGAGGGTTGTCACAGGTTAAAATCAACTCAGTGGAAGATGGTTTGGTATGGGTTTGGTGCTCATGGTCATGTAGGCTGCTTGCTGAGAATCAAAGAGTAATGAAACATTATCCTCTTCTTTAGGATTATACCAGGCCTTTTAGCAAATTATAAATCCACAATACAATGATAAAGGCCATCTTCTAGAACACAGGTTGATAAGTAGTAACTAAATAATCAAATTGTGCATGCTGCCAGTTATTGTAAAGATTTTTATTGAACATGACCCTTATTGACACATAGTCCTTGTCTTCTTTGTGCTATAGCAGCAGAATTGAAGCATAAGATATTCACTGCTTGCATCTTTAAAAAATCCATTGGCCCATCCTTAATCTACAAATTCGAATCCATTTTTATAAAATAGTTGGCAAACACTCCATTAGTTATTTTCATTAGGAAGCCTACATGTAGCTACTTCCTATTCCCTTATATTTTTAGTTATCATAACCCTAATCCAGCAACTAATTAACCATAAATGAAACTCAATGCCCACCCCAACCCCAGTCCAGTCAGTTCTGACTCACAGCATCCGTATAAAGGGCTTCAAAAGGGCTCTAAATCTCTAGGGGTAAAAATGACCTCAATTTTCTCATGTGGGGAGGGAGCTGACCTTATGATTTCCCAACAGTGCCACCATCATTAGGTGATTCAAAAATGCTGATACATTTATTTTTCATTTATTGGCTGGAATACTTCTATAAAGAGGAATTTGCCCACTGGAATATACTTTGAGGTAGAGTTATAATATAGGAAATGTAGAATAAATGTTGTTTCCTGTATCCACTACTTTTTAAAATGAAAAAAGGGCTCCTGGCATAATACAAAGAGGAGGATGATATCATTATTCACTCTTGTCTTTTGCATACATTTGACATATTTCATCCCATTTCAGTATTTGTTCATATTCATTCCTAATTTGTCCCATCTTTGGCGAGGGGCATCTCCTCCTCTTGCCTTCTGAATCGTTCAAATTGAACCTAGGAATCTCGTATCTCTCTTAACTGTTGTAGGAACAAGTATGTTGCTGTAACTTTCTCATTATCTACAGGATAAAATGTGCTTCTCTGAAGCTAGACCACTGATGACTCCCTGGGTCCCAGGATAGGCAGGTAATACAGCAGGCCAGTGGCTCAAGTCCAAAGAATCTGAAGTCTATGACCCAGATGCAGCACAAAGCAAAAGGACCCATCGAAAAGCAGGTGACATTATCCACAGTGTTTCCTTACACAGAAAGTAGACCACACATCCCAGGAAAGTTCCTTTCGATTGCATCAGAGCTGGACCTGAGTAAGGCTGTTGCATCCCCTCTCGAACGAGTTGACTTCTCACAGAAGATCCTGTTCTGGAGCAGATTACATTGTGCGTGGTCACATTGGCGAGGACCTTCATATGCTCCCCTCAGTGTCTTTCCCTCAATCATTCTTCCTTTTGTATCATTTTGTGAAAATAATTAAGCCCTCTATAACTAGTGAGAGTAGCCATGATGGTGCTGTGGTTACTCATTAGATTATTACCCATACGTTCAACAGTTTGAAACCACCATCTGCTCTTTGGGAGAAAGACAGGGCTTTTTGAGCCAATAAATAGTTACAGTCTCATCAACTCACAGGGGCAGTTCTACCCTCTCCTGTAAGGGTCATCATGAGTCAGGATCCATTAGATGGCAGTGAATTAGTGAGGTGATATCCAGGGAAGTCCCTATATGGTGCAAAAGGTTAACATACCCTCCTGCTAATTAAAAAGTTCATGTTCAAGCCTACTCAGCAATTTCTAAAGGAAAAAAAGGCTGTTATCTACTTCCAAAAAAATGGCCATTGAAAACCCTGTGGAATACAATTCTACTCTGGCACACATAGAGTAGACATGGATTGCAGTCAACTCCAAGGCAACTGGATAGGATAAAAACTATACAAGAATGATGAAAAAATAAGAAATAAATAAGGGGAAAGCATCTTAGTGTTCAGCACTATCTTGCCATGAGTTTTATATTCATTCTTGATTTTCTCTGTACACAAGTCCTGATGCCCAATAGGGAAGGTAAGAGAGAATAAAGGAAGAGGGAAGTTACCCCAAGAGTAATGCCCTAAGTCTGGACAAAGGAGGCATATGTTGAACATCCCAGAGGAAGCCCTCCTACATTGCTGAAGCACAGGGATGAAACAACTCAAAACACGCAAGCGTGGATATGGATACTCAAAATAGGGCATACTCAGCTGATGGAGTAATATTAAAATGTTGTTTCACTACTACTCCATTCATCCGATTTTAATTAACTTGTAAAAAGTTTTCAAAATCAAAACACTTCAATTAATTTTGCACGTATTAAATTAACTCATGCAAAATATTTAAAAGACAAAATAGCCTACTGGAATTTGTGTTGTGATTTTTCAGTTTCTCCTTACAGTTATACCTATTTTATTTCTTGTATTTTGAAACTTTCTAATGATGTCCATAAATGTTTGTTTGTTTTGTATAGTCTTAACAAATTAAGTACTGTAACTTAAAAGAACATTAAGAGAAAAATAATTTGGCAAATGACCTCAATTCTATCTCACAAATTGGATTAAACCAGAACATGTACACTGCTATGGATAAGAGCCTGCAACACAGAGAATCCAGGATAGATAAGCACCGCAGGACCAACCATGAGAGTAGTTATACCAGAAGGATTAGGAGAGCGTGGGTGGAGAAATGGGGAATCCATCACAAAGATCAACCTATAACCCCCTTCCAGGGGGAGGTACAATGGAAAAGTGGGTTAGGGGCAATGGAGGATGATGTAAAATATGAAAATAATAATCTATAACTTATCAAGGGTTCATGAGAGAGGGCAAGCAAGGGAGGGAGGGGGAGAAAATGGGGAGCTGATATCAGGGGCTCAGGTGGGAAGAGAATGCTTAGAAAATGATGATGGCAGCATATGTGCAAATGTGCTTGACACAACGGATGAATGTATGGATTGGGATAAGAGATGTAAGAGCCCCCAAGAAAAGTATTTAATAATTTAAAATAAAAAGGACTAGAAAGGCAGATCTGTGGATCTCAACATTCTTTCCAAAAGCATTCAGTCTGGTGTCAGAGGGGACAAGAGAAGAGTTCTTCTCAAAGTGCAACATCAAGAACCGGAATGGGAAAGTTGAGAAGTCCAATTTGCCCCACACCAGCACCATTTATGTCCAAGGTATTTGGGGGAGAATGAGAGAATACTTACCACATTTTGAAAGGGCTAATTCATGTTCTGGTGGAGAAAAAATCTTTGGAATTTACTGGACATTTTAGGAGCTGGAACGAATGAAGGCCGATTTCAAATTGGATGAAAGAAGGAAAGTAAATATACAAACCGGAGGACCGCAGATTTGTTTAGAATCTCTTTGGTGATCTGACCCCACTGGACTTCCCCTTACCTCTTGGATATTCTCTATGACAGCTGGTTAAATTTTTTTTTAAATCCTGATCAATTTCCCACAGCATTAACAAATGCAATCTGGAGCCCTTCTGATAACCTTGGTACCATCGGTGAGGCCTTCTCCAGTAGATATTTAAGAAGGAAGATGGAAAACCTGCCCACAGAAAGGACAGCTGGACCAAAAAGAGACATATAGCTCCAGAGTGAGAGGGGTCGTCACAGGGAAGAGATTCTGATATGTTCTTCCTGAACTAAACCGGGTTGTTGAGTGTTGTGGTCACAGCAAGGCAATTTGCAATCTCTGTGGCCTGGGGGACACAATTTCCACAGTTCCTCATTATAAATTTTACTGTCATGACTTCCCCAAGGTAGCTCCAATCCTTAAGCAGTGCAATTCACAGAAGGCGAACACTAGATGAATGACTCCCTGATCCTGAGAGACCATATGTGTGCAGTCATCTTCCTAACATTTTTCTTCCTACTGCCCTGGGAGCTCACTAGTGGACCCTAGGTCTCACATCCCGAGAGCTGGTGGGCATCTACTTAGGCCAGTTTCCGGTTCTCTCTGAGTTAGACTTGAACACTGCAGAATTGTAGAACTTCCATAGTGTGAGTCTCAAGACAGCCAGAGATACTGAAGATGTATCATGGGATTATATCCACCCACTCACACTTACATACGTTTATCTTTTTTTAAATTAAGTACCATAATAAATGAGCCATTATAGGGGAGTATAATTTGTCATACTTCAAATAGGTAAATTTTATTTTATGTGAATTATAACAATCTAGTTTTTTTTTAAGTCAGAAAATTGTCTTCCTTTCAAAAAAAGTAGCTTTATTTTTTAAAACCTACACACACACAT